GAGAGTGGGCGCTTATTCAAGGTGAGCGCTTATTCGAGGCTGGGCGCTTATTAAATTTTCACCATTTTCAGCAAGAGTAATATGTTTATTTTGCAACAAAACAATAAATGCTAATAACAAAACGCGAAGAAGTAACAAAGCAAGGTTTCTGTAAAATACTCTGAAGAACACTCCGTCCTCGGGGAAGTCTCTAATTAGAATTTATTCACTCAAGTGGGTGGGATGGGGGTGAGCGCTTATTTGTGTTTGATTGGGAGGAAGAGTGGGTGGGCGCTTATTCGAGGCTGGGCGCTTATTAACTTTTTCGGCCTTTAGGATAGGCGCTTATTCGAGGTGGGCGCTAATTCGAGGTTGGGCGCTTATTTGAATAAATACGGTAGCCAGATATAACTGGGACAAGTTTTTAGTTTGTAAACCTTCACCTGGGTTACTGAGAGGTCTAAAGTTACATAGGACCTTACAGATATAACTAGGACAAGGGTTTTAGTTTGTACTCACCCTCGCTATAAGAAGTCTTAAGTTACACAGGACCTCAAAGATACTTAAGGCAACACTTGGATCCTGATTGATAAAAAATTGAATGGACACTGAGTAATAACAGCGAGACAGCACGCTGTTCGTCGCTAAAAATTCCCAAACTCTTTCTGTCATGCATGCTCAGTAGGTTGTTTAAGGATATCAGCGTAGCCTCCATTGCTATAGAAATAAGAAACCCATCGATGCAAGAAAATTTGGTTATGACTTACGCACCACCCGTACGCACGACCGTCTGTACTGACTGGCAGAGAGGGACTATTACAAAGTTGACTCTGCAAGGGAGGGGTCGAAGACATACAGCTTGCATTTGTGCTAGCGGAATTTAAAATGTTCGCCTAGAGGCAGCCAATGGTGATGGTACAGTAAAATTCTTGAAGTCTATTTTTTTTTACTTACGACAAAACATTTTGAAATTAAAGTATATTTCTAAGGCTTAGCCTTTAGCTTGGTCAAGCTTTTGGTCACGCTCCAGGACCAATATAGTCTCAAACTGGTCAAAGTTTTGATGTGCGACAAGTGTATTCAAGCTTTCAATTTTACAGTGTATATGCAGCATCTTAAAGTTTGTTCACCCACAACTGAAACCTTGTGCTATTTTAAGTTTTAAACTATTTGTGTTCTTTCAATGCTGCCACAACTTAAAACACAGGCTGCTATTCAAGATTCTTGTTTGATGATTTGTTTATTTATTTTGGGTTGAGGAAAACAACGCATAAAGTAAACGGGAATTGTCATAGATGTAACAGTGTTTTTGAAAGTTCATGAGAGTTCTTACCTTACTGCCCCTTTGTGAGCTTGATAACTTTGTTTTCTTTCTGTCTAGTATTAATTTACCTATGTATCGGTCCTAATTTATATTTCCTATCACTTACAACGCATATTTTTAAGATTTGATACGTGCGATGTATCGTATGGCCTCCATTTATCCGGTTCACTCACTCCCGTGAGGACCTGCATATGACTTTTTTTTGCACACCGCATGACGCCGGCGTTGTTAAGGACGCTAGGTTTTGAGTGACAGCAGGAGCCGATTAGCGGTGACAGGCAATAAACTTCTTACTGCGAAAAGCGATTAGGTCCTTCACCGTTTGGTGCAATCATCAGTGGTCAGTTATTCAATAAAGCGTCGCATTTTTTAACAAGATGAAGGCGGCATCTGGCGATAGACCAATTAGAGAAGAGATTACAGCAAAGTGCTTTCTCAGCTCTCTCAGCTCACGAGTTATCCAGATTAATCGCGCGTGGCCTACGACTCAAGCGTTGTCTTTCTGGTCTTTGCCAGTATTAAAATGCAGTGTAGTTCTATATAAAATTGAATGTATTGAAGGTCGCGAAACTCAAATAGAATCGGACGAATGTTGCTACATAAAAGCGTTGATTCAAAATATTATTTTGTAAAACCCGCAGTCCGTGAATACACAGCATACTACTCATCGTAAAGGAAAGATGGATGCCAAAGCAAAGTGATCTTCGAGGCTTTGTGTGTGCAGATTCAACGAAATTTTTGCTAAACTGCAGTTTCCGCAACGAATCGCGTGTCACGCACGCGTCACGCACGCGCTGGTGCGTTGTGCTCGTATTTATGGCATCTCTCTGATGGAATCTTGTACGTTCAACGCTCTATGGTTAAAAATTTTACCAAAACAATGGAAATAATAATTGACTTTTTCTTTATATGGAAGTACTGTGACATTATGGTTTGACCTCTGATCGAATATTAAAGCCAGAAGTGCATTCTTGGAAAGATCGTAAAGGACAATGTGTTCGTTTGGGTAGGTTTAGATGACATTGCGAGAAGAAGACGGTCTTCCTATGCCTTCAAAATGTTTCTGAGCCCAAAGATATTGCGATAAAAGTGTAAGTGGTAATATTCATCGGCAGTCTGGTAGGCATTTTGCTGTTGAAAACGTTTGATCTTCCAATCCGACTGCATTTGTTTGGTGACTATTATGCATGATCTGCTGTTAATGATGTAAAGCGTGTGCAAACGGGCTACACAAAAAATTTCCGTTATTTAATGACGGGTTTGCGGAAATACTATTGTTACTAATAGCCTCGGCAGAAAACGCAGAGACCAAGCGATCAAATGGATTCGGTCGAATAGTGAAATCGCCATTCCGCTAAAACGTGTCCAAAGCCCGCCCAAAATTATCAAATCTAGCCCCTGCCGCTATTTAACTCTATATCCAGTCAAGAAAAAGCTATGTATTGCAGGATTTTAGAAAATTAGGTATGGGAATAAAATCATTGTTAAGGGAGTCTTTTGATCAATAGCTGCTTGCGGAGAAAAAGGTGAGTTTCACTTTTGCTATTAATATTCGTAAGGTTCTTGCGAGAGGACTGTATAGAAATTAAGAACAAGGAATGAAACACCGGAGAAAAGCCTGAAGAGAAATCACTAAGACGCACCTTAACATGTTTCAAGGGAGAAAAAAAAACTTTAGACGAGTTTTATTTTAATGCCGTGGTGTTCTTAACTCCTCAGTGCGATGATTTTTAAAGTAACAGAAACACTAGGTGGCGCGCCCGTGATTCTGTGAGTGAAGCACCACGGTATTAAGAAATCACTTGCGCACCAAGTGGTAGTTTAAAGGTTAACACGTTTTAGCACTTGTGAGCGAGTTATATTGTAATGCCATGATGTTCTAAACTCCCAAGTGCGATTTTCAAGGCAACAAGAAACACTAGGTGGCGCGCCCGTGATTCTGTGTGTTAGACACCACGGTATTATGAAATCACTTGAGCACAAAGAGGAAAAGTAAGTGTTAATATGTCTGATATGTTTTATCCTGAGGAAGCGAGTTCTATTGCAATACCATGGTGTTCTAAACTCCCAAGTGCGATTTTTAAAGCAACAGAAACACTAGGTGGCTCGCCCGTGATTCTGTGAGGACTCTGTGAGTTAGACACCACGGTATTATGAAATTACTGCGCACAGAAGAAAATTAATCATGCCACAAGAGTTGCAATTCGAAAGTAATCTTAAAGAAAAGTTTGCATTATTAATTTTGACCCTAATAACGCGCCATAATTTCTGTTATCAATAAGAGTATAGGCCATAGAAAATTGTTATTGATTTGTTAGCTTGAGAAAGTACGGACGGTCAACAGTTAAACGAAAAAGCGTTATATAAGTTTACAGGCTCCTCGCGGACTGGGACCCCTTTGTTACAGAGACAGTTTTAAATATTGAAAGTATCAATGACAAAATAACTTGTTCGTTCGATCGAAATTTTAATTCATTCACCAGATCAGGCCAAAGCCATTTATTGCTTTAATTTGACGCCACTTTTACTGATTAAATAATTCTTAAAAGTACTATACACTGAGTCAGTGCAGATAGGAACTCTTTCGGGTGAAAGATTTTGAGAGGGATGAGTGACAAAAAATGAGATTTATACGGCTTTAATTAAAAACTCGCTCAAATTTCTTATTTGTCTGAAAAATGAAAAGGATTACAATTACAGTCTCCAAGTATATTTTACATGATTAGGTTAGGCAAAGCTCTTTGGTTTAATGCTACTTTTCTCCAGTAAACTTAGCTTTTATTTTCTGAACGGGCAAGGGCCAATTCCAACACACAACACGTGAACTCACAAACAGCAAATGTTTTACTATTACCAAACCAAAAAACAGTAAATTCCTACAAAAAATAAATACAAAAAAGCGAAAAAATAATAGTTACAATACAGAAAAACTACTTTAAAGCGACTGCAAAATGAAATTAATGAAAAAACGATGAAAACGAAGCTGCTTACCAAATGCCGAGGATAACAGAGTCGGTGGTCAGGGCCACCGAGGAAAAATACAATCTACTTCGACGAATGTTGTTACACTAATAGACACGTAAAAACTGGTAATAAATAGGGGCCAGATAACAAACTATAACGAAATTTACATACAGCACGTAACAAAGGAGCGTAATTAACAAAATACCGGAGAGCGAAAAGAAAAAGAATACACGATAACAAGTGAGTGAGAAAACGAAAAACAAAAGGAAAACAATTTACCCCAACATTTTCATTCCAATTCATTAACTAAAGCCTAGCGAGAGTGAACGTGGCCCAAGAATATTCTAGACCCCATTTACACTGGTCCGGACGAATTTTTTACCTGTGCACCCGAGTAAACATTTAGTATATGTCTGTTCAAAAATTTGACCAGACCCTTGTAAACGAAGGAAGTACAGTATTTTTTGAAACTGAGTACAAGCAGATGATGAGATCATGATTTTATTTCACAATAAAGATTCACTCTTCATGTCTACCGGGTCGACTTGGGGCTTGCCCCTCGTCAGCTCACCAGAGTGCTTTTAGAAAACTCAAGTTCAGTTGTATTCTACTCAACAGCTGTATTTTGCTCGCTTTAATATTATAAATCCTTTCATCTCCTCGTTAAATGGGGACGATTGAAGGGATACGTTTATTATAATAAAGGCAACTAATACCTATCGTTTTTTGCATTCTATAACTCGGGTAGAAACAACTGAAACAGCTGAAAAAGAAGAATCAAAATTATTTCTCCAACAATGCCTCTTCTCTGTATATGTTTGGATTCAGCACGTGAGGAAGTAGGGCGTGAGCTTGTAGTAGGAACTAGAAGAAACAAAATTTAAAAGTTATATCAGTCTGAGGTTAAGAGAAGGGAGACAAAAGTTGTAACCAAAGATCTAAAAAATAACAACTGATACCCTTATTTATTTATTTGTTTATTTATTTATTTATTTATTTATTTATTTATTTATACATGACTGCCAATGCTAGAAATTGCATTGTTGCTTAGTCTGGCGAACAATATAGATATATAGAAAGTGTATAAAGGATTTAATTTTACGAAAAATTTAGCTTTTTTCGCTATGTTGTCGATGTTGTGTACTTTTCTTTTCACAAAGTAGCTCTAAGGATAGTAAGAATGGATGTGAAAGCAATTCATGCAATTTCATAAAACTTGTCATGGTTGTACCTCCTCAAATTAGTGTTTCAAAAGTCGTTGTTTTGAAACCTTTTTTGCTATCAGTTTTATGTGTAGAAAGGAAACACTTCGCCAAATGTACATTTGATTTATGTCCAAAATGTTTCGAGTGAACAAACCGAAAATAGTGAGTGGATCAAACATACTTGGATTAAGATCCAATTGCCTTTCAACTTTGAACATCCCAAAATATCCATCCGATATGTCATCTCTGAGAGGCTTTAACGGATCGCCTACGTCTTTTTGGAATTGAAGCTGTATAACAGCCATGCATGTGCTACTTCTTCGCCTAAAATGAAAATAACGAGAACATTAATCAAGATTTAAGACATACGAAGTTGTTGCAGCGACCAGTGTATCGAACTCCATTGAGACCGAATTGAGACATAATGGCAGTAAATACGGCAGTCGCTGTAAAATTCATACGAAACAATACCCAGAACCTTAAGTGGAGCATGCGCAGCTAATGAGAGTATGGAAAAAGAGTATTAAAATAAAGGGATTTCTCCTTCGGTATTTTTTGTTCTTAACGCGTTTTATCACCCAGAATTTTCCTCATAAAATAACTGCTTTTAAACTAAATATTATGTGAAAAAAATATATATTTTAACAAGTCTTCATAAGAAATGCTTGCAGAAAAGTATGGGAAATATACATACATGTTAATATGAGACAAAAAGTGTGGATAGTTACCTAAATGTTACAACAGTCAGTTTAAAGAGCTGCTTTTCAGCATTGTGAGGCATGCTGTAGAGACGTGAGATCTATTGAACAAAAGCCTTGAGATTAGACATTGATAATCAAACTGCATTGGTGATAACCATTCTCAGGAACCTGGGCTGGAAGTTAATTTGGGACTAATACTATTAAAACTGTATCACTAAGTAGGTCCTTAGGCCTTTGCCGTTATTCTTTTTTTAAATCTTTGCAGCGACCTTTCTATTTAGAATAAAGTTTACGCCTGGCAATAGCCTCTCCGGCAGACGTTCTTTTGGCTTGTCACGCAACCCTTCCCAGCGAACGTCCGCTGAAACGAGCGGGAAAAAAACGTAGACCAATCACAGCACACTTCCAGATCTGGGAAGTACACTTTGGACCTTGCGAAATGTCGCGAGACTCCAAGAAAGATCAGAATGTCTCATCTCACATTTTTAAAACAAACTATTCTTATGAGTTAACTCATACGTTTTCATACTAAAGGTTAACCTCACAATCTCATTGAAAAAAATTACCTCGCAGGGTTAAAACTGCTGAACGGAGGCTACATAACAATAAACTACGAAAATAAAATTGCCTCTTGTTCAGTTACAACGTACCAATCCCACCTTTGCCTCTCCAAAAGAAAACATTTTTGGGGAATAGCATCTGATCCAGTGTTTACATGAAGACAGAAATTTACAAAAAGCTAACCCTTATCTCCTAAATTTTTGTTCCGGAGCAAAATTCTTTAGTCACGTATCACACTCTACCGAGCTTGTGCGTCATGTTTGGCTTGTCAACAATTTGACTCCAACAGCGCCGATTGGTTCTCTGATAATCTGCACTTGAGCTCCAGTTAATATTTGCGAAAAGGAAAGGAATTTTTTTTAACCACTAGTTTTAGCAGACGTTCGTGAGGCAGGAACGCGTGACGAACCCCAAGAACGTCTGAGTGGAAGGCAGTAGTCGGCAAACGGCATCCGTCGGATTCAGGTCAAATTTTCTCAAATTAGGAAGTCAGGACGCAGGGGCGGGCGGATCGAGAAAATTCAGAAAGGGGTGGCCTGGACACTATGTAAGAAAAGCTGGTTGGCCCAGGTAAGGGCAGGACAGAGGTCCTTCTACCAGGGACAATTTTTCTCCGTATAAACGGTCTTTTCCAGCTTTATATGCTTAAACAGTGGCCAAATTCATGTTATAGTTTATGTTGTTATTTTCCCCTGCCCGAAGTAAAAAGCGTACTAACAGTATCATGATTTAAACATTAAAATAAAGAAAGCACACATACGATCGACAACTTACTGCTGATGACAAATTCGCCTTAAACATCTCTTGCTCGACTGACCGATTATTTGCAAATGCCATGTCCCATTCCACGCTTAATATTGTTATTGCAACATATTGGACTTGACAGTGGTTTGATGGACCTGTCATTAACAGAGACAGGGATAAGCCTGGGTTGATCAGACGGTTGTTGATCATGGCCTGGTTCTAAATCATTTGTGATTTTTAAGCAAATTTTCCAAAAACCATGGTTAAAGACATCCTCCAGGTTAACTAACCTTAAAAAAATTGAAAAATAAATCCAAATTGCCAAGTAACGTGATCCACCACGCCCTCTTCTGTTCGAAAATTGCAACCAACGATGCCCATCACTTGCTTAACGTGAAGCTCCAGTTTCTTTTAATCAAAACTTTGACCCTACAAAGTGTCTACGAAATCTGCTCTTAATGGTTGGAATCTTTAAAATTTGTAGGTGCAATTGGTGTTCATTGACTAGTGCCAGTTCTCCTCTAACTAAAATTTTCGTTAGGAGAAAGACTTTAAATCATTTCGGCTCATTCCAACCGTTTTTACAAAAAGACTATCAATAGCCACTGTTTGGACCTGCAAAAGGAAAACGGTTTGTTTTCTATATAGTGGGCATTTTGACCCAAAGGATTTGTCGATAAAACAGGGTGTGGCATGTCACGTGATGCAGTTATAAACAATTTTTAAAATGTAATTTGAAGATTTCTTAGTTATGGTTAGCCTTAATTTATTAGACCTGGGATATCTTTAGAGAACTTATTATTCATTCAAAATATTTCCTTGATTCTGGTCGGCTAAAAGCACAGGCATAATTCACCATAACCAGTTACTGATCACCAAATTTGGAAGAATTTTGCGATTAATCAACCGATATGTCAAAAGTGCAGCTTCCTTGCAGGTTAATGCACTATTAACCGAGAAGACCTGAGGACGAGGGTGATTTGTTTTGGTTGTGAAAAACAAAAATGGCAGACATTTCACTTGTTTCAAGAGTAAGAACTAGGAGAAATAATAGTTTAAAACATGGCAAGAACAGCAAGAGGACAACTTGAAGGGCGACATCTGCTATTTGGAGAATATTTGCAGAGCTGAACAACCCTAAACGTGCACTATCCAAGATGAACTTAACATCGATGGAGGTAAGCATGTTTTAGCTCTGTTCTTAAACTAGCAATTATTTTGAATGAATAATAAAACAATTATTGAATTCGACTTTCGCATCATATAACGAATTTTGGAGAGAGATCTCGGAGGGTGTTACCCGTCGAGGCCGTAACACCCTCCTCTCCTCGATCTCCATAATTGTTCATAAGATACTCAGCCTTATTCATTAATTGTTAATTTACATCAGACCACTCCCTTTAAATTTCCGAGGAATCTGTAAAGAATCAGGCCTTAACTCAGATCTACTTAAGTAAACAAATCTACCGTTCACAGCGTTGAAGACCAAGGTGTATTACCTGTAAGTGGCCATTACTCTGGTCCCGCTTACATTTGATTTGGCAATAGAAAACATTTTTTCGTGACTGCATAACCTGATTTAAACACTAGAAGGTGTTTGAATGCAAGACATGAATGATTCTCCTATTAAATTATTTCCACACATATACGACCCCTAAAAATGATTTTATCTGATATTAATTGCTACTTACAATTTATGTTAACGACGGCGATACTGGTGGCACTTCCATATGCATTAGTTGCTGTACATCTGTAGGATCCAACATTCTCCCTCTGTACATTTGTGAGATGTAGATCGGAACCACTAGAAGTAAATTGTTTAAAAGGGACTCCGTCCTTGGTCCAGATGATTTTTGGCGTTGGATCGCCATCTGCTTTACACGAGAGCATCAAGTTTTGTCCAACGTCTACTTCTGACTGTTTTACAGGCTCCTTAGTTATTTTTGGAGGAACTGAAATGTAAAAAATGGCCAAAGTTGATTAAAGGGCGAGAAAAAAGCTCATAAAACCCCCAAAAAATGTCATTCTCCTCTATTCAGTTGCACACTGTGCCTGAAAGAATTTCAGGCACCCACAAACGATTTTACCCCAGCCCCCTCCTCCACCCATCCTCCTTATAGTCTTGCAAAAGCCGAGAGAATTCAATAAAATGTTAAGTTTAGTAGGATGTTTGAATGGATTGAACGCCAGACGTTTTGACTTAAGTGAATTTAAAGTTTCATGTCTAGGCACACTACAGCTGCCTTATGGCGGACCTCCACGCTCGTGAAGCGCGCACGAGCGCAGCCCCATACCTAAATGTGGTAATCTACCATCCGAGAAATTTTGGTAATCACGTGACCGTATGGCCGCCCGACCGCCCGACCGACCGTCCGTCCGTCCGCACCACAGGCAAACTAATTTAAAATAACTCAATCAACAGGTATTGCAGCTCGAGGTCATTGTGGCGGAAAGTCGCATAGCCACCCGCGTCTAGTGAAGCAGAGACACAAGAGTCAATAAAGACAAATACGGAAAGGGGAAATTATTTCTGTATCCATGTTGTCTAAAGTATTACTGTATTATTACAATACAGAGAAAGAGAAAGACAGAGAAAATGAGAAAGTAGGCGACAGACAGCTAGAGCGAGAAATAAAAGACAAAGCAGAGATTTTTTTGTTGGAAGATCAACATGAAAATTTTGTAGCGGCGTTGAGGAAATAAGAAATGCTAGCGGCCATCAAGGTGAAAATGAGCGGCACTGAAAAAAAAATGAACAAGAACAGGTGCGAAATTTTCTCTATAACACCTGTAACTAGGAAGTTTCTGGAAGTTTCACGGTGTAGTCGTACAAAATAACGGCAAAGAAATGTGCAAACAAACTGTGTTACACGTGCAAAGTTGCTTTTTTGCTAGTTAGACACGTCGTTTTTTCACCGTTTTCGTTGCCTTCGCTGCTTGGCATAATTACACGATTATATATTTTGTCTGGGCAAACTATAAATATTATCGAGAGCTTCGCTTTTAGCCCTGGCTAAATCTATATATATGTTGTGATTCTCTCATAAAATTATCATATGATTTCGAAGCTAGCAAAATAATAATGCAAAGTCGATAATCAGTTATTAAAAGGAAACTTAAGCACGATTCTCACTAGCTCATAAGCATAAGCACAAGCACACGTGTATGCAAGTGAAAACTGGGTCGACATAAGCGTAAGTATAAGCACAAGAAGAACGGACAAATTCTTCCTTCTTGTGCTTATGGTTATGCTTATGTCGTAGCTTTCACTAGTGAAAACGGGGGCGACATAAGCACAAGCATAAACACAAGGACGTGGCCCAATCATAGGCCACTTTGACCCAGACCTCATGCGAATATATCAAAAGCAATATGGCGGACGAAGCGTCTGCCATCTTGTTTACCATCGGGTTGAGGAGAGCTGTTATAGAGAATTGAGTCAAATATGCCATTCTGTGCGTGCGAAGGACTTGACAGTGGTTTGATGGACCTGTCATTAACAGAGACAGGGATAAGCCTGGGTTGATCAGACGGTTGTTGATCATGGCCTGGTTCTAAATCATTTGTGATTTTTAAGCAAATTTTCCAAAAACCATGGTTAAAGACATCCTCCAGGTTAACTAACCTTAAAAAAATTGAAAAATAAATCCAAATTGCCAAGTAACGTGATCCACCACGCCCTCTTCTGTTCGAAAATTGCAACCAACGATGCCCATCACTTGCTTAACGTGAAGCTCCAGTTTCTTTTAATCAAAACTTTGACCCTACAAAGTGTCTACGAAATCTGCTCTTAATGGTTGGAATCTTTAAAATTTGTAGGTGCAATTGGTGTTCATTGACTAGTGCCAGTTCTCCTCTAACTAAAATTTTCGTTAGGAGAAAGACTTTAAATCATTTCGGCTCATTCCAACCGTTTTTACAAAAAGACTATCAATAGCCACTGTTTGGACCTGCAAAAGGAAAACGGTTTGTTTTCTATATAGTGGGCATTTTGACCCAAAGGATTTGTCGATAAAACAGGGTGTGGCATGTCACGTGATGCAGTTATAAACAATTTTTAAAATGTAATTTGAAGATTTCTTAGTTATGGTTAGCCTTAATTTATTAGACCTGGGATATCTTTAGAGAACTTATTATTCATTCAAAATATTTCCTTGATTCTGGTCGGCTAAAAGCACAGGCATAATTCACCATAACCAGTTACTGATCACCAAATTTGGAAGAATTTTGCGATTAATCAACCGATATGTCAAAAGTGCAGCTTCCTTGCAGGTTAATGCACTATTAACCGAGAAGACCTGAGGACGAGGGTGATTTGTTTTGGTTGTGAAAAACAAAAATGGCAGACATTTCACTTGTTTCAAGAGTAAGAACTAGGAGAAATAATAGTTTAAAACATGGCAAGAACAGCAAGAGGACAACTTGAAGGGCGACATCTGCTATTTGGAGAATATTTGCAGAGCTGAACAACCCTAAACGTGCACTATCCAAGATGAACTTAACATCGATGGAGGTAAGCATGTTTTAGCTCTGTTCTTAAACTAGCAATTATTTTGAATGAATAATAAAACAATTATTGAATTCGACTTTCGCATCATATAACGAATTTTGGAGAGAGATCTCGGAGGGTGTTACCCGTCGAGGCCGTAACACCCTCCTCTCCTCGATCTCCATAATTGTTCATAAGATACTCAGCCTTATTCATTAATTGTTAATTTACATCAGACCACTCCCTTTAAATTTCCGAGGAATCTGTAAAGAATCAGGCCTTAACTCAGATCTACTTAAGTAAACAAATCTACCGTTCACAGCGTTGAAGACCAAGGTGTATTACCTGTAAGTGGCCATTACTCTGGTCCCGCTTACATTTGATTTGGCAATAGAAAACATTTTTTCGTGACTGCATAACCTGATTTAAACACTAGAAGGTGTTTGAATGCAAGACATGAATGATTCTCCTATTAAATTATTTCCACACATATACGACCCCTAAAAATGATTTTATCTGATATTAATTGCTACTTACAATTTATGTTAACGACGGCGATACTGGTGGCACTTCCATATGCATTAGTTGCTGTACATCTGTAGGATCCAACATTCTCCCTCTGTACATTTGTGAGATGTAGATCGGAACCACTAGAAGTAAATTGTTTAAAAGGGACTCCGTCCTTGGTCCAGATGATTTTTGGCGTTGGATCGCCATCTGCTTTACACGAGAGCATCAAGTTTTGTCCAACGTCTACTTCTGACTGTTTTACAGGCTCCTTAGTTATTTTTGGAGGAACTGAAATGTAAAAAATGGCCAAAGTTGATTAAAGGGCGAGAAAAAAGCTCATAAAACCCCCAAAAAATGTCATTCTCCTCTATTCAGTTGCACACTGTGCCTGAAAGAATTTCAGGCACCCACAAACGATTTTACCCCAGCCCCCTCCTCCACCCATCCTCCTTATAGTCTTGCAAAAGCCGAGAGAATTCAATAAAATGTTAAGTTTAGTAGGATGTTTGAATGGATTGAACGCCAGACGTTTTGACTTAAGTGAATTTAAAGTTTCATGTCTAGGCACACTACAGCTGCCTTATGGCGGACCTCCACGCTCGTGAAGCGCGCACGAGCGCAGCCCCATACCTAAATGTGGTAATCTACCATCCGAGAAATTTTGGTAATCACGTGACCGTATGGCCGCCCGACCGCCCGACCGACCGTCCGTCCGTCCGCACCACAGGCAAACTAATTTAAAATAACTCAATCAACAGGTATTGCAGCTCGAGGTCATTGTGGCGGAAAGTCGCATAGCCACCCGCGTCTAGTGAAGCAGAGACACAAGAGTCAATAAAGACAAATACGGAAAGGGGAAATTATTTCTGTATCCATGTTGTCTAAAGTATTACTGTATTATTACAATACAGAGAAAGAGAAAGACAGAGAAAATGAGAAAGTAGGCGACAGACAGCTAGAGCGAGAAATAAAAGACAAAGTAGACATTTTTTGTTGGAAGATCAACATGAAAATTTTGTAGCGGCGGTGAGGAAATAAGAAATGCTAGCGGCCATCAAGGTGAAAATGAGCGGCACTGAAAAAAAAAAAAATGGACATGAACACGTGCGAAATTTTCTCTATAACACCTGTAACTAGGAAGTTTCTGGAAGTTTCACGGTGTAGTCGTGCAAAATAACGGCAAAGAAATGTGCAAACAAACTGTGCTACACGTGCAAAGTTGCTTTTTTGCTAGTTAGGCACATTGTTGTTTTTTCACCGTTTTCGTTACCTTCGCCGCTTGGCATAATTACACGATTATATATTTTGTCTGGGCAAACTATAAATATTATCGAGAGCTTCGCTTTTAGCCCTGGCTAAATCTATATATATGTTGTGATTCTCTCATAAAATTATCATATAATTTCGAAGCTAGCAAAATAATAATGCAAAGTTGATAATCAGTTATTAAAAGGAAACTTAAGCACGGTTTTCACTAGCTCATAAGCATAAGCATAAGCACAAGCACACGTGTATGCAAGTGAAAACTGGGTCGACATAAGCATAAGTATAAGCACAAGAAGAACGGACAAATTCGTTCTTCTTGTGCTTATGGTTATGCTTATGTCGTAGCTTTCACTAGTGAAAACGGGGGCGACATAAGCACAAGCATAAACACAAGGACGTTGCCCAATCATAGGCCACTTTGACCCAGACCTCATGCGAATATATCAAAAGCAATATGGCGGACGAAGCGTCTGCCATCTTGTTTACCATCGGGTTGAGGAGAGCTGTTATAGAGAATTGAGTCAAATATGCCATTCTGTGCGTGCGAGTTATGCTTATGCTTATGTGCCAGTGACAACCAGGCCTTAGAGCAGGAATGTTAAAGAATCACATTTACAACTTTTATTCATCAGCTCCATATAGTTTCTATGATAACCTCTGCTGTTATTGGTCAAGCTTTGGTTGACATTTTCCAAGCCTACACGATCATCCCGTCACCCTGGCGACCATAAAATTAAATGAGGTCGGAGAATTGGGCTGGCAGAATGAGGATAGAATTTTCTTTTCAAATGAATGAAAAAGGCCAAGGTTTAAATTCTCTTAATGCATGCTTGTTTATAAGATAAATAAATTGTTAAATGCAAAAGGTAAGCCATATTTTTAGATATTAAAATATTGAATCAGTAAAGGATGCATGACTTCACATCCAATATTAACTTTGTAAGTGTTTTCATCGATCAATTTAACCACGCACAATTTCACCAAACATCTCATCATGACCTTTCAAGTTAAGGTGGAAAAAATAACATGACAAAGGTTTTTCTGCTTAATAAATTGTTTTAAAATTTTTACTTTTTTTTTTTGCTCGAATCTACATATCTACATTTACTGAGAAACTATGTTCTGTTATCACGATATTCATTTTTTTTTTTTTAAAGTAGACTATTGACATTTTTTTAGGGGAATAAAACATGCCATTATTTATCAATAATGACTTGATTTTTTTATAACTCTATGTGATTTTTTGGAATTTTGAATCGCGAAGGGGTTTTGCCGGAATTTTGTATTGACATTTACGTTTTCTTTTTATGAATATCAGTTTTACTGAAGTTTTGTGTGCAGCTTTTTTTAAGATTTTAGTAAAGAATACTGTTTATTAATAATTTATCCTCACTTAGAGTTGATTGTTTTTTACTGCTCTCATGGTTGAATTTTTTGGTGTGTGTGCAAAAATTGACTGGCAGGCTTAGCGTCCCTGAATGACTTCAAAAAAATATAGGAGAGACTGACTTCCATAGTTGTTTCCCAAATGCTACTGAACGGTAACCAGAAGATCACTGACGACGAAATGCTAAGATTTTGATTTAATACTTTCGTATTTTTGAAGGTAACAGTTTCTTTTTTAATTTTTAAGCTAGGGTACATATCTAAAATGCTTCACATGGGTTGATGTTAGCTTTCTCTTTTGCGAACGCTTATACTTTTAAAGATAAATCAAAAGTTATCCATTCATCATTAATTCAAAACTAGAAGCAGTTATGGTAGTATTATTAGTTTAAGCTCTGGGTAAAAACCTGCTAACGCATAGGCTTGAAGGTATCTGACAGTAAACTACGATGCGGAATCACTTGATCTTTGATAGTCTAGGAGATCGCGAAATCAAACAGCACACCATTAAGAAATCATTACTCACCGTAAACAATTAATTCCACTTGATCGCTTTTACGAGGTTGAGCGACGTTGTTTTTAATGTAATTTACCACGATTAAGTAAATAAATTCCTCGTCATTTGTGACATTTCTCAAAATAAGCGTATTCGGAAGACTTGTACCGTACTCTTTCCTGTATGTACCATCCAATAAGGTAAACGAGGAGCCAGCGAGTCTGGATGCGAATGTGGTTGGATTCTTTTCTCCAGGCTTTTTTCTTTGAAGTAAAACGTTTTGAACAGTCTCGTTTGACTCAAGGAAGAATTCCCACACGAGGGACTGATCAGTATTGTTAATTCCTTCTACTAGGATTGTTGGTTTGGTAGGCTGTTTGCTCCACCCAATAGCCTCTGAAATAACAAGCAAGGAATCAAAATATCATAGAGGTCTATATAACAAAGATTATGTGAATGATAACCTATTAAATAATTAAACAAATTTGCATTGCTTCGGCTTACCGGATTGCTGTGCTGTCACAAACATTAACAGGGCTGCTAGAGATGAGCGTATAGCAAACAACAAAGATGCAGCCATCTTGATCGAAGGGATTAACTGACTGCGCAAAGGTTCAAGACTAGTTCCTAACAGCCAGTTACTTGCGAATTTATAAGTGAAGTACTTGAGACAACACTTTATAGACACGAGGGATATCAAACGTGTACACAACAATATGTTTTTTCGTTTTCCTTTCACTTAGCGTGCTTCTCTAGCCACACCTGTTACAACACTTATTTTCCCTTCCTCTCGGCTACAGCTTTGAATGAATCCGTAATTGCGACACGTGTTTCGAGCGAATACAGCAAGTTTAAAGGGTCACCTGTTTAGAAATTGCGCGACGTTTTCCCCGATATTTATTCATGAATGTCAGTGAATGTTTTCATCTGACACTGACAGCTTATCATTGATATTGCAACTCGTAGAGAACATTATAGTCACTAGGGAGAACTTAAATCATGCAAGAAATACACTAAGCACTTTCTGCAAGAGATACACTAATCGCGTTGTCTAAGAAACTTCCCTTTTTGTCCATTTGGTTTTGACGATGACTTGGAAATCATGATATCGCCGTTTATTAGTGCTGGTTTCAAGGGAAGACCGGAATGCGGCACGCTCGTGTCGTTGATCTATTTATGTTGCCGATTGGACTATATTTACAGCACGAAGCATTCAGTGTTCCCTTTCTCTACCAAGAATACGCAACACAGTCACAAAGGTAAAAGGTTAGCCATTTTCGTTTATTGTATTCGTTGTTTATTTTTACGTGGATTACAATCAGAAGCAGGTTTATAGAAAGCTCAGTGGCCTTGTGCTTGGCGGTTTGTGCGCGTATATATGTCTCAATACCACCATGGTAAAAAAAAATCACGATAAAAATTCTTTTGGTTGTCTTTGATCTTCTGAAAGGGTTAGGTCAAAATTTTGTCCATGAAATTATGGGGAAAAAAATGAATAAACGCATTAAGGCAACGTGGTTTTCTTCAAGGAAAACTTATGTTGACTACGTAGTTTTGTTTACCTACCCAACAGCCAAGGCGGGTGAATCTGACTTCTCGAATGACAAAACAAGGCTAGAAACAGTTCCCTATCTGGCGTCTTCTGAAATTGTTCAGACGAGCTTTTGAAAAGAATTGCAGAGAGGTGTCGATTGAAATAGTGATTTATCATTTTGTTTGATATACTAATTGTTCGCACTGGCGTCAAGTGGTACTTGTGCAACATAACGCCATCATGCTTGCGTTAATTTTGTTCTAAAATCAGGAAATATATACAGAAACCTTTTCTCGTTTTTGAGCCTTGACTTGTACTGACAAAGTATTGGTTTGGTATAAAAACAAGAAAGACACTAAAAGAGTAATTATTATATTATATTTAAGGCGAATATAACTCAAACAGTCTATTTTACAGGCAACCTATCGACGAAAAAGAATATTTCAGTACTAGATCAGAAAGTGACGTTGTGAGTCTTTGCAAAACACCATAAACAGCTAATTTTGCCAAAACATACAGTGTCAGTGGCTCTAATTCTCGTCAAAAAGGAAGTCCTCTCTGATATGCCGGAGTAGACGGCGATAGAGAATGGACTTGCCAGGTGGGAACTACGCAGGGGAGGGCGGCAGCTTTATATAAGCATGGAGAAGTCGCGGTATCTCTGATCCAGGGACCGGTTTCTTTCTGCAGGTCGACAAGTCTTAATGGCGAAAATAATTTTAAAAGCTCTCAAGTGTGATGCTGAGGCACGACCGCTCTGTACAATATTTTGTTTTAAAGTAAGACGTTAAAATTGAGAACTAAAACATATATAATATTGTCCAGTTACTTTACGGATAACGTGGCTTTGAAACAAACAAGGCCTTGTAAACAAAGGCGTTTCTTGAGCTTCATGAAATACCGTAAAATTCCGAAAATAAGCCCCGGGGCTTATATTTTTCAAAGGCCCTTTTTGAGGGGCTTATTTTTGGAGGGGCTTATGTTCGGAGGGGCTTATCTACGGAGGGAAATTTGCGTTTCAAAATCGATTGGGCTAGCCTTATGGTTGGAAAGAAATTTACCATTTTCGCTTTGTTTTGCTTTGTATTTGAGGGCAACTTCCAAGTACAAGCCCCCGGGGGGGCTTATATTCGGAGGGGCGATTTAACGGAGGGTTTTTTGCGTAACGAGTTTGGGGGGCTTATATTTGGAGGGGCTTATACATGGGGGGCTTATTTTCGGAATTTTACGGTATATCCCGTTAAGAGTAATCAGATGCTCTTTTTTGAGGGCTTCATTTAAGGACACCCTGCGGGCAGAGACCCGTCGATCTTCCTAGATAATTATAAGTCAGGAAGACGAAAGGGACTTGTCTATAGGAAGATCATAGGGAGGGTCTTTTTGGTTACTGTATGATCGGAAGAGAAATTGCGCGGTTTCAATCGTTTTGTAAAAATTGCATGAGAAAATTGTGCCGGTTATTCTTTGATGTGCAAATAAATATGAATACACGCATAAGTGACAGCGTATTAGCCTTTCAGTTCAAGAGAAAAATGAACTAAAACTTATCGCAGTAAATGATTTAAATTTTGGACCCCAAACTAGACTCCTAGTAGCATACCGTATTTAGTAGAGATGAAAGCCAATATTTTCACTCAGGTCACGGCGATGACATGATTTTATCTTTAACGCAAGTTGCTGCTGAGGATCTGACTGTTCTGCCTTTCTCATTGGCTGACAAAGTTTCATTTTGTTGCTCGATGTCACTGTCTGAGTTTTAATTTTAGACGACTTTGAATGAAAACGCAACCTAACAAAAATACACAAACAAAACTTGGTTGAAAAACGTTAAGTTGGAGAATGGGCGGGGAGTCCTTTCTCTTCAGGCACCCGAAAACACTTGGGGAGGGCCAACGACACTTCAATAACGTAACTTCCACCACGCGCTTCCAAATAGTGCTCAAGGTGATCAAGAGCTCGGCGTTGCTGTTAAAAATGGTAGGAAAACTGCAAAGGATACTTAAAGTTTACAAAGACCCTATCCTAGTTCCTCGCGGCTACAAAACCTATAACACTGAACTCAGTCGGTTCGGACATCGAAAGAAAAGCGTAGAACCATCGCACCGTATTTCCATTGAGTAAATTGTTAAAATGAATAGTTAATGGCCGCTGTTAAAGCTGCCCTTTAATGTGTTGACTGGAAAAAGTGACCCCGAGCACGAGAACGAACAGAGAAGGGTTGTTTTGGGCATGATAATAGTATAAGAGTACAGTATGTAGGGACATCGAATAGTGCTAGTCATACTGTGGATACTACCTCCTCATAGTTCATGTCTAGAATAGGATAGAAATCGGAGAGAAAATCACACACCAGTTTTGGCTTGAAATAGGGCTTTCAAGAAAGTAGCATTCCACACACCTCTGATGTAGCTAAATTTTCGCGGGAAACAGTCGACAAGAAGAGGAAAGTGCTTGTGCAAAGAGAAGTTCCAAACCATCCTATACATTTGAGATTTGTGAAAAGGATCAAGCCAAATGAGGTAATACAATTTCTACGCCTACTTTGCCTTTTGAACAGCAACCGTGAGGGAAAACCGAATTTAGTGGACATTTTGCAGAGATTTAACATTTTAAGCAAAAGAGTACAACGAGCATGAACATACACTGGAAAACTTGCAAGAAGTTATGCTAAATAGCCTTTATGTTAAACAATAAAATGGAAGCAATGAAATGTTGAGCTTAATTTACTTTTCATAGTCCTACCCAGTTTATTCACAGGGAGCACACACAATCTGTTTGTGTAGCCGATTGTTATTTTATAGTAAATGTACTGGATTTACCGTTTGCTTCACCTATAGCGAT